ATGAAAATTATAAAATGCTAATAAAGAATTTGAAGAACATACACATACATACATACATACACACACACACACACACAAAGACATCCATGTTTATGGATTGGAAGAATTAATATTATTAAAACACTGATGCTTTCTCTTTTTTAAATATATTTATCTTTTAGTTGTAGTTGGACACAATACCCTGATTTTATTTATTTCTTTTTATGTGGTGCTGAGGATCGAACCCAGGGCCTCACATGTGGTAGGTGAGCGCTCTACTGCTGAGCCACAACCCCAGCCCAACACTGGTACATTCTAAAGGAATCTATAAGTGTAAGGTAATCCATATCAAAATATCAGTGATATTCTTCACAAATTATTATAGACCATAAAAGACCCAGAATAGTCAAAATAATCCTGAAAGGGAAAAAAGAAAAGCTAGAGGCATCACAATACTTGACTTTGAAACATACTATAAAGATGTAGTAATCAAATCAGCATGATACTGGCATAAAAACAGACACACATACAAGAGAACAGAATAGAAAAATCAAGAAATTTATTCATGTACTTATAGCCAACTGATTCTCAACAAAGACATTAAGAAAGGACAGTTTTTTAAATAAACAGTGCTGGGAAAACAAGATATACATATGCAGAAGAATGAAATTAGACTGTACTTCTTACTATATGGGCAAAAGATTTACCATATTAAAAAAAATCAACTCAAAATGGATCAAGGGCCTAAATGTAAGACCTGGAACTATGTGTTATGCTTTAGATATGAGGTGTTCCCCAAAAACTCATGTGACAATCAGTGCAAGAAAGTTTAGAGGGGAAATGATTGGGTTCAAGAGCTTAAACCTAATCACTGCATTAATCTGCTGATAGGAATTAACTGGGTGGTAACTGTAGGCAGGGAGGGTGTGGCTGGGTGGGTGACTGGAGATAAGCCTTTGGGGTATGGATACATTTTGTCCCTAGTGAGCCAAACTTATCTCTCTCTGCTTCCTGATTGTCATATCCTGAGCAGTTTTCTTCAGTCATGCCCCTTTGCTTTGATGTTCTGCCTCACTCTGAGCCTAGAGCAATGGAGTTGGCCATCTATGGATTGAGACCTGTGAAACTGGGCGCACCAAATAAGATTTTCCTTCTCCAAAATTGCGTTTTTCAGGTCTTTTGGTCACAGCAACAAAAAGTAAAACACTATGAAACAACTAAGAGAGGACATAGGGGAAATACTTCAGGACATTGCTATAGGTCAAGATTTTTAAAAAATATCCTCCCAAATTCAGGTAACAAAAGCAAAATAGGACAAATGATGGTATATCAAACTAGGAAGCTTCTGCATAACAAAGGAAAGAATCAACAGAGAGAAGAGACAACCTCCATAATGAGAGAAAATATTTACAATTCATCCATATGATAAAGGATTAATATTCAGAATATATAAATAACTCAACTCAAAAGCAAAATACTAATAAAAATCATCTAATTTTTAAGTGGTCAAATGACTTGAATCGTTATTTCTCAAAAGAAGACATACAAACAAACAAGTATATGAAATAATGTTCAACATTACCGATCATCGGGGAAACCCAAGTCCAAACCATACTGAGATATCCGAGTTAGAAAGAAGCAAGAAGTAACAAATGGTGATTATTGATGTGGAAAAAAGGAACTCATACAGTCTTGGTGGGACCATACATTATTACAATGATTACAGTAAAAGTAAGGAGATTCCTCAAGAAGAAATAGAACTACCATATAAGACAAAACCCCAAGAACTATGTAATGTTTTGAACAGCCAACAATAAAAAATTAAAAAAAAAAAAACTAATGATGGGCCAATTTTTAATTAAAATTTTCTTTATGTAAAGTGTTAAGACTAATATGAACCCTTAACATGTATGTCTTCTGGTGACAACAGACTTCTAAAACTAAAAATTTTGAGGTTACTTCTAAAAAAAAAAAAAAAAAAAGAAATAGAACTACCATATAAGACAAAACCCCACTATTGAATGGGAAAGAAATCATTATACCAGACAGATATAATACCTGCACACCCTTTTATTGTAGTACTATTCATAATTGCCAATATACAGAATCAATCAAGATATACATCAATGGATAAATGGATTTTTAAAATGTTGTCTAGGGGCTGGGGCTCTAGCTCAGTGACAGAACACCTGCCTAGCATTCATTGGGAGGCCCTGGGTTCAATCCCCAGTGCCCCGCCCCCGTCCCCCCCCCCCCACACACACAAATGGTCTAGGTCTATAGGATTATAACCACAGTGGAATATTATCCAGCCATAAAAAGTGATAAAATTATGTCATTTGGGGTAACATAAAGAGGATATTATGTTTAGTGAAATCAGCCAGGCACAGAAAGACAAATGCTGCACATTCTCATTCATTTGTTAAAGAGAAAAACGTTGATCACATTGAAGAACAGTGGTTACTAGAAGCTAGGAAAGATGGGGAGGAAGGGAAATGGAGGCTGGAAATAGACCCCAAATATAGCTAGATAGGACAAATTAGTTCTAACATCCCGTAATCTACAACAATTTATTATATATATATATATATATTTCAAAATAGAGAAGAGTTTGAAGTTTCCCAGTACAGAGAAATGATATTTGAGCAGATGGAAATGCTAATTACCTCATATACATATATCATACTGTACCTCATAAATTTGTCAATTAAAATAAAAATAAATTAAAACTTTGCTTAAAAAGGCAAACAATTTGAACACAAAGTTTAAAAGGAAATATATAAATGGCTACTAAGTAAACGCAAACATGTTCAACATAATCATCCTAAAACAAAAATTAAATCTTTATTGAGACACTACTCAACCCCTTCCAGAGAAAGACTGAAAATACCAAATATTAGTACGGATATGGAGTAAACAGAGTCCCATAAGTTATTGTTGAGAATATAATATGGTACAATCATTTTGAAAAAAAAAAATCTGGCAGTTTCTTTTGAAAGTAAATTCACACCTATCCTATTTTTTAAAAATATTTTTTAGTTGTAGTCGGACACAATACCTTTATTTTATTTATTTGTTTTTATGTGGTGCTGAGGATTGAACCCAGTGCCTTGCACATGCTAGGCAAGCGCTCTACTGCTGAGCCACAACCCCAGCCCCACACCTACCCTATTGCCTGGCAATTTTGCTCCTAAGTATTTACCCAAGACAAATGGAAACATGCTCACAAAAAACCCTGTACATACAAATATTCATAACAGCTTATTCAGAACAGCTAAAAATTAGAAACAACCCAGAATGGCAGAATGGAAAAACTACCACGGAACACTGCTTAGCAATAAAACAAAAAGGACTACTACATACAAAAATGTGTATAAATCTCGCAGCATTAGGTTTAAAGAAGCCCTACACAAAAGAGTGAATATGGCATAATTTTGTTTATATTAAGTTCTGAAACAGGATAATTATGTTGAGGAAAAAAGTCAGAACAATTGTTGCCTCTTGGAGCTGGTAGAGGCAGTTATTGACAGTAGTGAACCATGAGGAGTTAGGGACTGAATGCTTGTGTCCTCTCATATTCATATTTTGAAATCCTAACCTCTAATGTGATGGTTGGTATTAGATGTTGGCGCCATGGAAAGGTAACTGGGTCATGAGGGCAGAACCCTTATGAATGGAATTAGTGCCCTCATAATAGGGAATCCAAAGACCTCTCCCCCTTTTTTCTGCTGTGTGAGGATAAAATGAGAAGATGGTAGTATGCTGGCACCTGATCTTGGTCTAATCTCCAGAACTGTGAGAAATAATTTTTGTTATTTAAAGCCCTCAGTCCATGATAATTGATAATGACCTGAACTGACCATGATCTGACAATGACCATAATAATTTTGAAGATAATGGTAAAGTTCTATATCTCAGCAAAATATTACAGGTGTGTGCATTTGTCAAAATTCAGTTGAAGTATAGTTAAGATTCATGCATTGTATTGTACATCCCCTTACTTTTTTTTTTTTTTGGGAGAGAGAGAGGATCTTTTTTGTAGATGGACACAACACAACGCCTTTATTTTTATGTGGTGCTGAGAATCGAACCCGGGTCCCGCCCATGCTAAGTGAGCACTCTACCGTTAAGCCAAAATCCCAGCCCTACATCCCCTTACTTTAAAAGAAAAAAGTAAACAAATAATTGCTCTATGGTTAACGGTATACATGTTAAAGTATTTAAAACAAAGTATATTAATTACTTTGGTTGACTTTGAAATATATAAAAAATACGATGGGTTAATAAATGGATAAAGAAATCAACCGACATTTATAAAGTATAGTAAAATGTTAGTGGTAGAACATCTGTGGTAGATATACAGTTGTCACCATAAAATCAGATACTATTCTAAGCCAGATAATTTTTAAAGTAAGATATTAGAAAAACAAACAGTAAAAGTTTTTTTTAAAGTACGTTCAATTTTTCTAAAAGAAAATTTCAACAAAATCTAATTTGTATTTTGGGAGCAAAGAAAATCTTCTGCTTACTGAATAATTAGTACTTGAAACACGCCCAAATTAAGGAGCAAAATATCTCTTAATTCCTCAAAAAGAATAACCTCTTATGTAAAGATTGGCCTTTTACTAAAAAAGAACTAATTTCCTTTTTCTAAGTTGATTTTTATTGGTATACTTTGTTTTCTGGGTGGTGACTACAAACATCCAATGATTATAATGTGATTCACCTCTATTCCAAGGAAGTCTCAAGCAGAACAAATATTATATGGTTTTGATGTGTATGTATCTTTCTAATTGTTATTTAGAACTAGGTTTTAAAAATAATTTCCAATACTTTGTAGCAATATAAATTTTATCATAGGGAAACTAAAACCTTGTAACAAGACAAGCACTTTCTGCCTCAATTTGCAGATACTAATTTAACTAGTACTTGCACGACTGTGTGGTGTGTTTGTATGTGTTAAATACTCTTTTATATTTGAAAGTTCTCAAGCATGAATACTCTGCCAGGTTATACATTACCTCCAGTATAGGGTTTCCAGTTATAATACTTTCCTCGGAAAGGCATATTGTCAAAGTCTGCACACTGTTTCTCTCGAAAATCTCGGGAACCCAAAGGGCATGGCTAAAATAAAATAAAATAATAAATGGTACCATTGTTGTAAAATACCAAAACCAAGGGACAACGTCCCTAAAAATTAAAATTACCTGAATCTTATCATATTAGCTCACTACCTTATTCTGGCTATAATTTTGGCATTTGATTTACTGTTTGATAATCAGTATTCAGATTCAAGTATCTAAATTGTAATCTTAGCTATAGAAGATATAACTGAAGTCATTTAAACAGTTAAGTGTTAAGGAGTTTCAATATAAATTTACCCTGGGACACATGTCATAGTCTATTTCGTAATCAATCCATCATGTATCTCCTTAAAAACGTACGCAAAAACTAGATGAAAAAACTAAAACCGAAAGTCCTTTTAGTTGAGGTAGCAGACCTATACTCTGTGAAGTGCCCTGAACTTTAAAATATTTTAGCACATTAAAATATAATACTCTCAATGCCAAACCTAATGATTCTTTTTGTTAAATTACTCTTCTTGATCGCCTTTTAATAAAAATGAAAAATAACTATTTACCATAAACTATATAGTGTACCATGCTGGAAGGACATGTTTGCAGGATCTTTTATTTCATGGACTGCTAATCTTTAGATTTTTGGAATACTGAGATTACAGGAGTGCTTTTCTTTTCTAACTATTTTTAAGGAATAAAAATTGTCAGTGGCTTTGCCATGCAGCAAGTCTACTTTTAAAGAATATCAATTTTAAAAAATACAAGTAATTTGAACTATAGGTACAAGTTTTCATGTAATCTTTAAATACTTATAAAGCACCAACCACCCAAAAGTTCATCCAAGCCCAGTTTTCAATGTAGCTAGAAAATCAAGCCATAAGGGTAAAGCTACAGAATTATTTCAGGCAATATTCATAGCAGAGAACAAATTCTACAGGTTATCTACAGGTGCTGTTTATTGGTGAAAGATCAATGTGTCATATGGTTAGTTAGGGACACACTGGTTGAAAAAGAAAATCTTGGGTATGTTTCAAAGCATACCAGGTATTGAGCCAGTTAGGAAACATTAAGGATTTGGGGAGAGTAGGGACCAGGTGTGGTGACACATGTCTGTAATCCCAATGGCTCTGGTTGCTGACAGGAGGATTGCACGTTCAAGACCAGCCTTAACAACTTAACAAAGTCCTAAGCAACTTAGTGAGAACCTTTCTCAAAGTACCCCTGGTTCAATACCCAATACCAAAAAAAAAAAAAAAAAAAAAAGAGAAAGAAGAATAGTTGAAAAAAGGTATTCTAGATGAAAGGGGGGGGACTTCATAGAAGCCTAAGAATAAATGATATTTCATATATAAATACTAATGCATAATAAATCCCTGAATTAACAAATTAAGGCATCATAAGGGCCATGTGCTAAAAGCAAACAAAAAATGCTGTTTTTCACTATCTGCTAGTGATTTCTTTGAAAAGAAATAAAGAGTCAAATGGAGGATATTATTATTTAATTAAAGCACTTCCACAATACTTCATAGAATTTCTGTTCTATTCTTCCTCTGATAGTCACTCCCAGGGTCATTATAATAAAAATATTAAAAATAACAATAGCTACTAGTATTTGCTAAGCACTAATTTGTGGCATACTGATCAGAGATCTTTACATGCATTATCTATTTGATTCCTTTCACCACACTCTTATGAGGTAGTTATAATTAATTTCATAATGAAGTAAACTGAGATACAGAAAGATTGCTTAGTAATAATTTCAGGGTGTGAGGACACCTCCTTCATCTGAATGGGAGCATGCTCTGGACATTCTAAATACCACAATAATAGCAGAAGTTTCCACATTTAAACAAATGGTCATGTCTGTGTTCCAATGTTTATAGAGATGACAGATCAGATTTGTCCTAGGTGGTACCATTTGCCAAACCCTGATTTAGAATGTTCCATAATAGATACATTTATCTTGTAGCATTTCACAGAAAAATCAAAATCAATTATTAATTTTTGAGCCAATACAGAATCATACCTTTCAAGAAGTGGTATTAAAGGTGATATAATCTAATTTGCATAAGATGCTTAGATAACCTCTACAATCATCCTTACATGGCCATACAATCTATATAAACACCTATATAAGGATAGATCAAAGACAAAGCTGCAATAAGTAGCAGGTTCTTCCCTACTTCCATTACAAACCTACCTTCCTATAACCAAGTGGTTTTCCTTTGTTCTGGATTCACACTGAATAGCTCTAACTGCTTAACTGAAAGGTATCTAGGCCTTGATGGCGTTCCTATGAACACATCATGATTTAGCATTAGTTTTCTTGAAATAAGGCACCAAGAACTGGCCTTAAGTATCTTTCTTTCATCTAGAAAGTATTTATAGATCATTTATTATGTATCAGATATAATCTAGGCTCTGGGGTTACAGCAGAAAACTAAATATGCTCTGTCTCTGCTTTCATGGAGCTTACTCTAGTTGGAGATAAGAAAACAAACAAAAAGCAGGGTAAGGAGATTGATAGTGAGGTGGGAGGGAAGTTGTTTTATATAATAAGGTTAGAGAAATTTTTTCTAAGGCGGCATTTGAATAGAGTTTTTAAAAAACGAGGAAATGACTTATGTACACATCTGTGAAAAGTGTTTCAGGAAACTGAATGCAAAAGCCCTGAGTTGGAGTGTGTTCAGGCTGTTTGCAGAAAAAGTAGAGAGAATAGAATGGCTTGAGAGAATTAAAGTGGACTCAGGGACTTGATCCCATGTCATTTTGATCCTTGAATACATCCTCTAGAATTCTGTTCTAATGTCATTGTTCCCATCATGAATGCTCTGAATCTGTTTGATTAAAATAGGCTCAGTAGGAGTATTATATGCTGGTTCAAAAGAATAAGAGTAATCAAAGGAAAGAGTATTTTCTGAAATAAAAATGAGGTAAATCCATTTTTGTTTAGTTTCGGAATAATGAAGCTTAAGGAGTAATGCTTTGTAATTACTTAACGATAATAATGGTGACACTATCCAGAAAGCAAAACATACAACAGCAGGCATAAGCAACAAAGGTTTTATTTAAAGCCTGACAGGTTTTCAGTCTCCTAGAGCAAATGCTAACCAAGCATTCTATCCGAAAAACCAACCAGGAATGGCCCCCCACCCATAAATTCAAAGAGCAAAGCTGTAGGTGTCAGCAACTTTTGGTCGTCTTAATGCAAAGAAATTTTTTTAAATTAATATTAACGTCTTTATGACCATTGTTTTTCAGAGATCTATGTAAATTAGCACATTCTATAAACAAATCGTTTTGTGCTTTCAATTATTTTGATAGTTTAGGAACACCTCCTTTTCACTAAATTTAACATTTTATTTATTTATTTATTTATTTATTTACTTACTTACTTACTTATTTATTTTTATTTTCAGTGCTTGGGATTGAACCTCAGACCTCTTGCATGCCAGGCAAGCACTTTACCACTGAGCTACACTCCCAGCCCAATACATTTTATTTTAGATAAATAAATTTTTTAAAATAATAATAACTCATTGAGGCATAAAGTTGCTACATAAAGAAGTCTGAGTTTCTGCTGACAAACTTTCCAGTGATATTTCTATTGCTGGGGTTCTAATCAGAGTTTAATTCCAAAGAATATGCAAGTCCAAAATTCCTTTGTACCTTCTTTCTTTTATTTGTGAAATATGCCCCCAAATGCCCTGATCTCGAGGAAAAATATATCCTAAGATGTCCCACAAATGTGGAAAATTTTGAAAATACTGTATAATGTCCGAGTGTAATAAACAGTATGAAAAGGGATGAAAATAAAAATGCCTTCCCCTTTCCTTTTCCCTTTTTCTCTCCAGTTCCTAAAGGAAATGGGCAGGCTGGGAAGAAACAATGACTCTACAGCCTCAGGGAAAACTGCGAAATGCATAAAATTTCAACTTCCTTTTCCCCACTTTCTGCTGCTTTTTCCTTTCTGTGTTCATAGTGAATACACTTTTGCTTTAACTTATTACATTAGATCTGCCTCCAACACTCCCAACATTTAATTTTCTTCTTCCTTTCCAGAAAAGCAACACATTTGTATTTATGAAAGTACATTAGAACCCATAAGGCACAAATATCTATAATAACAGAAACACTCAATTGAGTACAAATAAATGCTAGCAATAGCCACAGCTATTTTAAATATATAATTCTAACTTTTCTTCTAATTATCAAACAACCATGCAAGTTTGATATAGATCCTATTTATTTAGAAATTCACAGAAGTTTGGTAAGGTTAGATGACTTCCCAAGATTAAGCAGCAATAAGTATCACAGGCAGAACTCGAACTTGAGTCAATTTAATTTCCAAGTACATGTTCTTTCACCACAATTCTATCTCCAAATATATACTATAATTTTCCCATCTACACAACCAAGGCACTAACACTCTGAATGATGTACGCAAATGGACTAAGGGGAAAAAAAAACTGAATAGCATGCCCTTCTAGCAAAGAAGACTGAGAACACACCAAAGTATTATACAATTTAGACTTAAATTTTAGAACAGATTGCACATGATCTGGAAAATCCTTATATTCCAAACATTTTTTATACGCTTGATGCATAAAGTAAAAGAGGCAAAATAGATATTTGAAGGTAAAGGAATAATGTGACTTTCTACCCAAAGTGGAACTTAGTTATTTCATCAGAAATTCTATTCCAGCCTCATTAATCTTTGTTTCACCTGCCCCCTTGGTTTTGGAAAACAACAGCACCAGGAAATTCTTTTTAAGAATTTAGGAATGTAAAAGAGTTTACTTCATAGTTCCTAATACCCTTTAGGAAGCTTTGATATAAAATTTGGTCCTTAACCTTAATACAGCCATATTTTTATTCTTTACAAAGAATAAAAGTAAGGTATTTACATAATTGACCTTTAAATTCTACTACTTACAATAGTTACAATATATGTACCAATTTTTACCTTTTTAGGACATTCTGCATGGTAGTTTTAAGCTATTGGGATAAAAAAAATAGTTCAGAAAAACAAAATGTCTGATTTTT